CTGAGAGTTGAAGTCCACACATCTTAAAGTTGCCAAGGTTGAGAAACACTGGCCTATATAGAAAGGACATTGTTATAATTTGAAATATACTACCCATCTCCTAACAGGCCTTCAAGGTTGCTGTATTTTTATGCAAGTTAGAATCCCTACTCTAGAGTCTATCTTGCAAGCCAATTTCTACTTATTTATAATAAGTATTTATGATGTATTTATTTATAACTTATTTGTATCTCATCAACTGAAGGGTACTTTATAAACTCCGTGTACAATTCCTGATAAGCAACACCTCATGTTTGTCTCTCCCTCTTCTGCCCTCTTTCTTATATTTCTCATGCGCTTTACAGATCAAAGAACACCATTGATCCTTTGTATCAGTTTTGGGAAGAGCAGAGTGTTGAGGACCTCAAAGAGACTCTAGAACCCGTTAACGAGGTGAGCAGTTTCACTCAAGTTCCATCGCTCTTTCCTTTTGAAGGACATTTGCTTTTCCTTAGGGCTGGGAAGTTTGCTAATTCTCACACATCTGGGAGGCTTTCAGTTGAAGAAGGTTATCCTAGATCAGCCATGGGGAACCTGCAGCTTCCAGATATTGTGACTTCCAGCCTCCAGGGTCCTTCAGCATTGGCCCTGCTGAGAATGTTCAGCAACCGTTGCCACAAGTCCTCTGTAGACAGCCGTGATGAAAAGCGAATTGGAAAGCCCTTATGTTTTCCTTCTTTAAACCATCATATTGCCGTTTTTCTTTTCCTTCAAACTGTTTTGTGTCTTTGTGCAGGGCAAAGGTGAAGAGGAAGATGATTTCTTGAAAGGCGAAACTCCCCAAAACGATGGCATGATTGGTGTGACGCCTAGCTCCTTCAACTCTCTTATTCAGAATTCAGAAACCAGCCTAGGTTCACCACCAGTAACGCCTCTGCAGTTGCAGCTCTGATCTTTGGGGTCTGCCAGACAACTACAGCTTTTATATAAGAGACCATGGCAGGGGATGGAGACACTTGCTAAGCTCTTGATTTCTTGCAACAATTCTGATAGCAGAATCGAATATCTGCATCACGGACAGGATAGTATGCTAAGCCTTTTGTACTTACCCAGAAGAAGCTGTAAATGGAAGAACCATTCTCTTTTCACATTATTTTTTTCCTTTTGGGTTTCCATTTTTTGCTTTGGAACAGATCCCCTGAGATTAAATATAGACCGTGATCCAGGGAATGATGGAATTAATTCTGCATGTTGATGCCTAGGGATTAAAATAAAGCAAAAAGAATACTACATTTTTAAAGCAAACTTGCTAGCGAGAACACACAGATCTGCTTTTTTTTTTTTGGTTTAAAAAAAAGGCTTGCTTTGAATACAGCTTTTACAGGACTCCTGCTTAATCCGAGAATACGATCGCGTCAAAAGTTATGCAAAAACAATTTAAGATCTTCATATTCACTAGAGTTATATGAAACAAGATTTGTGATTATTCTGATTTTATTACTGAATTGTTAAATTATGTTGCCTGGGTCAAAAGAAGAGAACAGTATCTGCTTTGCTCTATGTACAAAAATACCGGGCTGGATTTTTCATCAACCCCATCATTCAAAGGAGCTGCCATTGAACATGAAGGAAGTAAGCCAGCTGAGGAGGTATCTAGCAAGCCGTGTGGCACACAGCTCTCTTCTAAAATGTTGTTGTTGTCCCACAACTGCTACCAGAGGCTATATACCCTCTGCTTATGGTAGAGCAGCTCTGAATGTTTTGCTTACCCTACTGACTCTAGAGTTTTAGCTTCAGTAGTGTGTGTGGTTTGCTGTACAGCAGCCCAGTGTGAAAATTGCAGGAAGTGTATTTGCCATGACCGAACTTTCCATAGGCAGCCTATCCACCAGTTCCACCAAATCTCAGCAATTCAGTTTCCAAATGCTGACCCTTTGGAGCTTTTTCCAGTATCATGGAAATATCCCTCCAAAACCAGGTAATGATGTAGAGAGAGCTCTCAAACAGTGGTTTGGAAGACCCTAGAGGGGACAGAAGCAAATTTGAGGAAGGAGGAAGTCACAAATTGTGGGCGGGTTGTGGATGCCAAGCAGGATATGTTTAAGATCTCGCTCCCATTTTGCCTGGATAAGCTGATCATTCTGACTTGGGGCGTGTACCAGCTTTGCACCCAAAGCTGGATCGCTGCCTCCAGATCTCAGTCCCGTTCTGCCTGGACAGGCCAAAAGCAAAGACTACAATTTCTGCTACAAAGAACAAATAACCCAGACCAACATGGAACAAGAAGTGAGAGTGGTCATCTCAAAAACAAAACCCAGATTTCAGGAATTACACAAGAGTAAGCAAATCATCCTTTCCTTAAAAAAAAAAGGTTTTGAATTTGTTTTATTCTTGATGAAAATGTTTCATTTTATAAAGCTGGAAGATTCTGTCATTTTATTTAATTATATAGATTAAACATTATTTATTAAAAGTGAGTTGGGATTGTTGGGGTTCTTTTACTCAACCATGACCCCTCTGAAATTGTTAGCATTTGTCCATTTATCAGTTTAGGGAGTTGTGGCATTGCAGAGCTAGAGAATCCTTGATGTTGAAAGGGTAGGGTGCATTATTTGCTTTGGCCAAAGAGGGTTATCCTTTCCTCAGTGATCCCTTGATTATCATTTATGAATAATCTTGGGGAGTTAGGGATGCCAACAAATTGGAAATGGTTGAATATTGACAGCCAGTGATGAGCGATGCCAAGAGTTATACATTGATAACTCAAGGGACATGGTCTCCTTACCACTGCCCTTTTCCTGAACATAGGGAGACAGGTGGTCCCACCAACAGTCCCTGCAACAATTGATAACATCTCCTTAGTCCTCTGCCCAGCACAGTTTCTTGACTTTTTTGCTTGCATGGACATCTGTTTCTCAAGAGCTCCAAGTTCAACCTTTTAAACTAGAAGCTTGGCAACAAATGTATGATTGCAACTCTTCTTCTCAACCCTGGTCTTTGGCTGAAATAAGGACAGTGGTTTCCTCAACAGATTTTCCACAACCACATCGCTAAACATTTGGGGTGATCTCAAGAGGGTTGACTTGATAGCTGCTTACGGTGTGGCCATGTTCACTATGGCTTGCCCTAGAGTGGGTCCTTTTTGGTTGCCTTTCTGGCAAAGACTTCTGTGGTATGGCTGAAAAAAAAATCAGAGAATGTTCCCCTCTCCCCCAGCAGTAAGGGATGGTAAAATCTACACAGATCAAATATCAGGAAGCTAGCTATTAAAGACACAAGAGCCCCAACAGGACAAAAGGGGTGAAACTGCTTTGCTTGTGCAAATCTCTTATGACTCGGTGGTATTGGGCCAGTTGCTCTCCTACGTAGGAGAAAATGGAAAGAGCATATGTTTGGGCAGCTTAAGTCAGGGAAGAAAGAGGAACTTCATAATTTCCTTCACTAGCAAACCCAGGCACGTAAGTGCTGAGGAATATGGAAATGAAACAAATAACAAAGTTCTTACTTGCCTAGGGGATTTTTTAGCAGAAGTATATATTTGCACATTTGAAACAAAAATCAAATACCCCAAAAGGGCCCTGTGCAAGCATCCTAATATGATTTACAGATACCCATTTCTGAGCTGTAAAAATGAGATTTTAAAAGACATTTATCAGGACTTCTTCAAAAGACTTCTTGTCCCTTTAAGGGCAAAATGTTCTTCCTGTCAAATTAATTTCACCTTCTTCTTACCTTCTCCACAACTCTTGCCTGTGTTGCCTAGGCTGTGTTTAAAAAGTGAGTTTGAATACCTGTCCTAGAAAGTTCCAAACCAATTTATTGTCCTAAAAATTACAGCGTTCTGCTGTTTTTGTAGCCCCCAACAAGCCATCAATGAATATGGAATAAGAACCACCCCATCTGCTCTCTGAGGACTTGTGTTGGGCAGTGTAGAACCAGGAGGGAGAGGAACTAAAGATGAATGAACCATGGTTGGCTTTAATTGTGGTTGGCTGAATAAGCTACATGGCTTATAAATTGCACCAGTTAGATTCATACAGATAATTTAGGGGTTTCTTCTGTCTTCATCACCCTCAAGAGCAAGATGAATGACATCAGCTATCAAAGTAATAAAGACCTCCCCATGGGCTCTGCCAAGTTAATGAAGTAATAATGAAGCTTTCAAATTTTAAGGTGTGCAAAGGTTAAGAGGGACAAAGTTAGACAATAAGTAAAACAAGGAAGCAGAGACTGCACACTTCCTATATTTGGACAGACTTCATGATAATCATTTCAAGATAACGAACTTTTGTAAGTCTGCATTTCTGATTAACTGCGAAAGTTCCATCATTTTTCTTAAAACGTCAGTATGTTTCATGAATTAAATCTGTCATTCAGAGTAAGCGCATTGATCTCAACGAAGCCTGATTCCTACTGAATTTAATTAAATCTGATTAGGATGACCGTTGTGCTCCCCATAACCTTGATGTGCCTTTTGTTTGTGTCTGTGTTTTATGCACATTTTAACTAGCACGTTAACTCCTTTGAGTAGAAATTATGGGGACGAAGGTCAATATGCCTCAACATTTTATCTGGAGCTTGCTTGGGAATTTGGCTGCAGAGGGTTATGACCTGTGCTTCTGGTTGTTCACACAATTCTTTTGGGAAAATAAACAAGAGGAAACAGTTTTTGCGACTGAGAGGAAGAAAGAAAGGAATTGGACTCTATACGCACCCCTGTTTGTATTTCCCTCTAGCGGTCTGGTGGGGATGGATAATTTGCAATGGTTCCAGACAGCACCCCCAATTTGTCTGGATTTTAAGCAAGGTGAAGATCTCACTTGCACCAGGAGGCCTTGGGTATAAGGAAGTGGGCAGGCAAACATAAGCCTGGATGTCAGTTTCTGCATATCCCTGACGCTGGGCTTTTAATAACTCTGTGATCTGCAGACAGGCAAACCATTAGCATTAGGCAGAGAGTGACTTCCCCACCTGAAATTAGCAGATCAGGTCACTAGCGAACAGCTGGAGAAGAAGAACAGCCCTACTCCCCACCTGTTCTGTAGGACTTTCTCCTCCTTGATGCAAATAGGCTACTCAGCCAGTACCTGCCCTTTTTCTTTCAGGGGTCATTGAAACAGCTTCTCGAGATGTTTCCATCTTGTTCTTGGGAGCCCCAAAACATGACTGCAGGCTGTGTTCCATTTGAAAGCTATTTCTCCTTCTCAGGAGTCACAGGTGAGTTCTGAAAAGCCAACCAAAGGCAATAAACCAGAACACTCATACAGAACCAAGTGGAGGACTTATTATGCCTGGAATTACTCTCCTGTCTGAAGTTGCTAGTAGGGCAGAAAGTCCCTTCTTCCTCTGAAGCTGCATCTGGCTGTAGCACTAACCCCTTTTCCAGCTTTGTGTAGGATGCTGAGTCATAAACTAACCAAATGGATTGTCTTGTCAAGCTAAGCTACACAAAACAGCTCACCATGGTTTACACTAACCAAACTTAGCATCTTGACTGACCTAGCTATGTTATGGGACTTCAATCTCTCTGTCTGTTGCAAAACGGTCCATTGGCACCTGGTTTGCTTTTACACAAGCTGACAATGTTTTAATAGCTGGTGGTGGCAACGGTCACATGGTTTGTGAGCCTGGCTTGGACTTTGTTTGTTTGCTTCCCCTCTCAAAATGATGGGAGCTCTGCCCTCAGTTTCAGCAACTGGTCAGAGGTAGCTCTTGAGGCTTCTAAAGACTGGAGATATTTCTAGCTCTGGGTCTTCCTCAGGCTATTCACCACTAACCTTTTACTTTGCTTTATCCTGTCTTTCTGCTCCCTGGACATATAAGATGGCTTGATCCATGGGCAGTGTGTTCTTTGAACAATTCATTCAGTCTTGCTTCAAGAACCCATATGGATTGATTGAATATATGTATGTATGTATTTCTACTTGCAGAGGCCCTAATAATGCTTTATTGCATCATATACCTGCAGACATTATGGTTGAACCTCACAGACTTAGAAGGGACCCCTAAAAGCTATCTAATTCAAAAGCAGCATCTTTCTTGCAGATCTAGAATCTCCCAAATTACCAACTGAGAAGCCACAGGGAGATGCCACATATTTAGGAGAGACCTTGCAAGGAGCGCCATCTGGAGTTGATGCACTGAACATGTAAGTTATGTCACCAGCATCCACTTCACTGGTTCCCATCTGTGGAGGCTGAAATAATGGAGAAAATAATAGGGAGATGTCAGCTAGAGTCTTGTATGTATAATGTCCCAGGATGAGTCCCTCACATCTCCAGGAAAGATGGAGGAAACTTTGTAAAACATTGGAGAACTGCTTCATCACTCACTCACTGGGAGTTTTAACTGTAGCTTGATACGGTTAAATACAGTCCATGATAACCTGGTTTCCTATGCCCTACCCAGCCATGATTATTTTTAACCACAGCTGGTTAAGCCATATGTAATTCAACCCATGCGGAATGGTCTTGGTTATCCAAATCCTCTGTTATGGCCTAATGCAGTATATTTTACTTATTTAATTTATTATTAAATTTATATGAACCTTGTCAGCGGCTACCACATTGATCTAGATGGATCAGTGTTTTGATTCAGATCTGCTTCACGTGTCACACTAAGACATGGTTTGTGTAATGGTTAAATGGTATTTGTGGAATAAAGTACAGTTGTCTGGGTTTGCTTGACATCCTAAGTCATAAACCATGCTTTATAAACCACAGTTGGATAGATTCACAAAACATGCTAAGCCAAATGAAACCAATCGTACTGTAGCTTAATGCAAAATGAAGACCAACCCCTTGTGACTTATTCAACAGATAAGTCATGGGTTACTAAGGTATGCACCTGCTTGAAATACTAAACAACGTCAAGTAAGGGAAAAGGTTTCTAATCTGGTTTCCTGCTCTGTTCTCTGATGGTTGAGGAAAAACCACCTAGAATTTATCTACTGGGAGCAACTGATGTAAAAAGAAAAAGATAGAGTATATGAAATACTCTGGGACCCGAGAGGAGCAGTTTGAAATAAATGAAAGGCTGTATTTTGAAGGCTGCAGAATATGAAATCCCCACTAAACTAGGTCTTCTGTAATGGAGCTCTCCACAATTTCTATGGCATGATGAGCTTGCCTCTCAATGACAGTTGTGAACTTTATGCTGTGCTGTGTTGTTATGATCTATGGTTACAATAATAAAACTTACCTGTGAACAGCAATGGGAAAGGTGGTAGACTTCAACAAGAAAAGCTAGAAAGAGAATGACAGATCATTCTAGTTGACAACAGAAGTTTTCCCTTTTTGACCCAGGTTTACCCACCCCAGAGTCATTCAGAAACTCCAGATGAGGAGCATACCCAGGAAGATGCGTCGTACCCCAAAGAATACGCTGGTCTTGGAAGTGGTAAAGCACTTCATCTGAAGCATCTGTTACTTCTCCAATAGTTGGGGAACCAGCTACTTTCCTTCAGCTTTCATGTAGAGTTTGCCCGTTGGATGTAATCAGTTGTAAAAACTGACTTGATATGAGATACTTTGGGATCCAGGATTTGAGAGAGCCTGTTTTAAATAAAACATATCCAAAATGCTTTATTTTGAAGGCTACAGAATATATCTCCACAAACCTAGCTTTGTACTCATCCCGTGGGAAATACACAGAATTTCTGAACTCATTCCAAGTTTATAGCTCTTGTCCCCAGCCCCAGCTACATTTTCCAGGTCAATTTTCCCTTTGCTCTCTTAACTTGAAGATCGAGATGTTTTATGGCTAGCAAAAAATGGCCTAGCAGTGTTTAGAGCATCTGCAGTGGAATTTACTGTCACTAGTCAAAGAGGCTTTCCTGATTTTTGGATGTGTTGAACTCACAGATCTCCTAGGCTGAACACCTCTCTTGCATGAGACCCTTATGCAAAACATTGGTTCATGATTTGATCTCCAGCATTGTTTCATTTGTATTTTCTGCAGGAAGGCACACTGGCATTGTCCTCCTTGACAGTTGTCTCGGATAATGCTTCAACATTCATCACACCCTTCCAGGATAGGTACTATCAGGTTAGTATCTATGGAGATGGAGTTCCACTTTTATCAGGACATGAGGTCCCCGCTGGAGAGCATCTCTGAAAATGTGCATAGTTCCTATCTGACATTATTCAAAGACAGTGTAAATTTGTCTTTCTGTCTTTAGTAGTCAGTTATGTCGGGTGTAGTGGTGAAGGTGCTGGACTAGGAACCAGGAGACTGAGTTCTAGCCTAGTTCTAGTGTTTATACTACACACATGCACACACACACACATACGGTGTTTGCATGTTTGCATTCCTTCCTTTGATAGCTTAATTTTAAAAAATCAAATTTAAAAAAAAAATAAATCAGAAGTTAGTATGCTACAAAGCAAAACACGAGCCTCTAAGCCTCAGAGTTCTTTACAAAAAGCCACACGGGTATTTTTGGACAATAAGAATGACTCTGTTTTGTTTGGCGTGGGAAAGGGCAAATTTAATTTGGAGGTAGTAGATCATCCTATTTTCATAATCTCAGTTTAATAATTAGCAATTAGAAATCCTTCTAAATTATTATGAGTCTATCTGGGTTGTGTTGGAGAACTTAGAGTTAACCGTCCCCTCATTTCAGTTTCCTGACTCTTGTATCTTTGAGGTTTCGATAAAGCTGAGACCATACCTCCCTGAATTTCTAGAAGCCCTGGCCAAAATCTACGAGGTAAGTGCCCTGTTGCAACTAAACTTGATCTGTGCTGAATTGAATATGATGCACAGCACCTGTAGAAGATGGCTAAAGATTCAGGAAGTGACTGCAGGTCAGAGGCAATGCATGTGTCTTCCAAACAGAAGGTCTTGAGTTTAGGTCCCATGCTGAGCTAAATAGATGAAGAGGCTGAGTTCACAAGGTTTATTTAACCTTGGCTTATTGAATAAGCCACAGTTGGCCCAGAATTGCACAGTAGGCTGAGCTGTGAACCATTGTTTGCATTGCAAAACACGATTGCTGATTCATCCAACACGTTAAACCATAAACAAGCCAACTGCATTATGGCGTAGCATGAGATACAAACCCTTCCAAAGTTTGGTGTGGTGTAGGGTAATAATCTGTGCTCTTCCTTTCTCCAAGAGCAAAGACAGATGCTGTAAGTAAATCAGAGGTCTTTTGAGGCTGATGGACACATCTGGAATTTTGCAAAAGGCTTGGAGACATGTACTCGCCCATCATTTCATTTATAAAGCTCCCTGGATTCCAGAGGCCAGTTCTAGCCCTTCAGAAACTGCCAGCATTTCCAGGAAGTACAGCTAGTAGAAGCTGGAAGTTGGCAACATCTGCCATTCTACAGGATGCAGTTAATTCTCCTCCTGCCTTGAAGCAAACAAACAAAACCTAAAAATTAAATTAAACATCATGGGTTTCTACATAACATTTCATAGGCCCAGGATGCAGTGGCCTCAACAGGCATCAATTAGAGCCTGACGTAAAATGATCCTTAAGATTGTTTGGTAGCTTTGTGATAAAGGCAAAAAAGTGGTGGGAAATCCTCTCTAGATCACATCCTAAACCAGTATTTTTCAACCTTGGCAGCTTTGAGACCTGTGGACTTCAACTCCCAGAATTCCCCAGCCAGTGAGGCTGGCTAGGGAATTCTGGAAGTTGGTCCACAGGTCTTAAGTTGCCAAGGTTGAGAAACCTATCCTAAACTATTTCAACTCAAATTCTTCAGTTAACACTTGAAGCGGATGAAAAGAGGCTGGGGAAAAAGGCCTGGTGTGTTGGCTTCTCTAAAATTAATCATCAATAACAACATAATGTCAAAGGATTACTTTGGATGTTCCAAAACCTGCTGAAAAATCCTTCTTCCTATTTCTTTTTAGATCTTTGCGTTCACCACTGCCAAGCGAGATTATGCTGATAAAATTTTGAAGGTCCTTGGACCACGAAGAAAGCTGATCAGGTGAGGAAGCCTTGGAATGGCGGCATCTATAGTCACCACCGTGTTAATTTTTAACTCAACTTTTTGCTGGTGAAGATGACCGAATTTGGCAAAATTGAGTCGTTTGATTAGGAGGGAGACAACAAGTACATTTATTAGTGATTGGAAACCCTTTGTGGACTTTTTGCTGAAAACAGAAAAAAATGAATTGGTGATTTATGAATTTGATTGTTAAGAATATGGGAAGAAAAGAATTACGATGTAATCTTAGGGAGGATAGATGATAAATTCATTTGTAACTGCTGTAAAGAAGATTGGAAGCCGCTTCTTTATATATTTTTTTCTTTCCTTTCCTTTTTCTCTATTTCCTTTCATTTTTTACTTGTTTTATATCTTTCTTTTTCTTTTCTATAAATTTATACTGTATGTTTGTCTTTTATTACTGTAAAAAATCTTTTAATAAAAACTATTACAAAATTAAACTCAACTTCTCCTGAAAAACATAGGAGAATTAAATCAGCTGGGTCACACAGCACTTTAAGTTTAGCAAATCAGCCCACTTTCTAAGTTGCCACAGGTCTTCTGCTGATTGGATTGGGTTAGTCTCAGAGAAACCAGGTAAGATCTTTGCAACTTTTCTTGTTTTCTAGGTAGGGTTTTGAGGAAGTGGTAGCAGCAGAACAAATTATGGGGCAAGGCAAGATCTGGAAAGGTTGAATTTTTTGGATGCTCCCCAGGTTTATCTCCTTACTCCTTTCTTGTTTTCTTCCAAGGCACCAGCTGTATCAAGAGGACTGCCTCTGTAGTCATGGTTCCTATGTAAAGGACTTGTCAATATTGGAAAGAGATCTGGATAGGACTGTGGCAGTTGCAACTTACCTGCAAGCATTCCCCTACCAGGTGATGATCAGGTGTGGTTCCTCAACATGACAAGAGAGGATGTGGCTCCATAGCAAGCCATCCCATGGGTCTCTGTAGCTTGGGACGGAACATTTTGACTTGGAATATTTCCCTTCAGGGTCTCTGGTAGATGTTTTCTCTATCACCTAATCTCACATTTTTTTTAACGAGGAAGGTACATATGTGTGTCCTGCTTATATGTGAACATGGATTCCTTGGGCTCCTTTAAAGTGCCTTCAAGTCAGCGGTTGGCAACATTTCAAAAGTTGGGGCTAGCTGTTAATGGTTTAGAGTAGTGTTTTTCAATCTTGGCAACTTTAAAATGTGCGGACTTCAACTCCCAGAATTCTGCATTTCACTTTTTTTGTTTTTGTTTTGGATTTGGGGGTGTGAGGCCTTGATTCTTTTTCAAAGCTGAACTTTTAGAGCATGCTGGCTGGGGAATTCTGAGAGTTGAAGTCCACAAATCTTAAAGTTGCTAAGGTTGAGAAACACTGCTTTAAAGCTTTCATTGTAGGTTTTGCGTGCTGGTCTTTGACCATAATAAAGAGTTGATTGATTGTTGTAGTTTTGCATTTTTCCTTGTGCCAGTGAAAATCACACTCATTATCTAAGGGGGACATAAGAGAGGAAACTTTGGGGGAAATTGTACGTAGATCATGGACTGAAATCCACCCATTCTTGTTCTTTAACGGAATAAGTTGCCTGATTAAACAATTGAGTTGAGGATGGTGGAAACTGAGCTATCTGGACAAACATTATAATGTTTTAAAACTTCTGATTTATGCTGGGCCTCTGTCTCATACAGAATTAAAGGTAAATTTCTAAATGTTCTTGTCTCCTGTTCTCTGTCTAGATGTCCAATGTGGTAGTGATCCCTAAATGGGAAGGCGATTCCCAAGACAAAGAATTGCTTCACCTTATTCCAGCGCTCCAAACTATTAGCCAGGCAGTAAGTAAGTGACTTTGTATCAATCAGAATGAACGGAGAAGCCTCAGAGATGAATGGATCAGTGCTAGAGCAGTTGTTGGCTGGAGAATTCTGGGAGTTGAAGTCCACACATCTTAAAGTTGCCAAGGTTGAGAAACACTGTCTTAGATGGAAACTTCAAACAGGACAGCTGTGATTTTTTTTCTTGATGCATATTTAGGAATCAGACACATTATTTACATCTGTTTATGGGGGTTTTCTTTTTCTGGATTATAGTATCATAAATTTGGACACGGCCATGAGTCCAACCCTCTGCAAGGCCCAGGAATCTTAATAAAACCTCCCTGGCAGATGACTCTCCCCCCTTTGTTTAAACTGAACAAAAACTGCTATCGCTTTAGGCGGATGATTCCAATGGTGAACTGCTGGATATGGAAAGATGTGCATATTTTAAAAAAATATTCTAACCTTTAAAAGTGAAAGATGGACCAGAGTGAAAGGAAATACAATGGCTTTGCAGCCATCTTTATGGGCAGTAATATTTGGAACTGAAATTATACTTTATTTATGTTGTGTTTGCAGGTTGACATTCGCACTGAAATAGAGAGAAAACATCGCGGCCGGGGGAAGGTTGAGATATAATGCCTGCTTCCATTATGAGTAACTTCTTCAAATTTTATTTGAAACCCCCAAAGATCTTAAAGCACAATCTAGCTTGGATATCTTTGGCCAGCTATCCTGGGATATCTGTTTCAGTTCTGTTGCCTTGAAAAGGATAGAAATCCAGGGGTGATAAGGAATTGAATCTCTTGATGCATTTGTTACCATTTCAAGGAAACAAGGGATGCTCAAAAATGCTCTTTCTTTTGGTATCTAAGTGGGGAGAGAAACCAGTATTGTTCCATCCACTGTGTTTGCATGCATCTTTCTTCTCTTGGCCATATATGTTGAGGTGTGCTTGGAAGGAGTATTTTCCAAGTTCCTAGATTTATTCCTTAGCTTCTGCAAATGCCCAAAGCACGCATAAATATATGGTTCCTGACTCATCAGAAGGCTACCATATAGCATTAATGCCATTTTTAAGAAGCTTTCCAGAAGAGGCTCTGTGTACAAAAATGTTTCCTGTGTGTTTTATTTCTGGTGTTCTCTTTCAGGTGTAAGTGCAATTTCATAAACAAGTAATAAAATGAGATTTGTGTTCAGCTTATGAGTTTTTGCTACAGTAACCCTCCTACTCCCCAGGTTTTCAATTTGTGACTTATTCTTTCCTCTGCAAGAAAGTAATAAAGGTAGTTCTCGTTTAGCAACCATTCACAGTTACCATGGTGATGAAAAAATAACTTTGCGACTGATCCTCGCATTTACGACTTTCGCAGGTCTGTAAAGCAAAGGAAAGCTGAAGTCAGATCATAAGCACGGTTGCAGTTTCACTTAGCAACTGCTTTGCTTAACAACCAAGTTGCAGGTCCGAATGGTGGTCACTAAACAAGGATGACTTGTATTCTTCCATGGATTCTCTGATCCTTTGGAACAATGAAATTGGAGGCTGCATACAGTTATACAGGATTTCATCTGTGGGTATTGCTGTGCTAAACATGGGGTAACAACATTTATATATTTTGATTTTGACATATATATATATATATGTCAAGATATATCTATCTTGATTTGCAGGTATCAGGATGTTTACTGGGCAGAGTTGATAGCAACTGGGCAGCCTATGAGCCCGGTAGTTGAATAAACCGTACACATTTGCTGTGTCCATGACTTCTGGTTCACAAAGCATTTTAAGAGAACCGCTGGGATCCTTGATCCCACTGCATTGTAAACAACCACATCTGTTTTAACCCTTGTTTAATGGGTTATGTGAACCTGGCCACTGAGTGGTCAATTGACAGAGGGGTCCTGGCCTTGAGCCCAACCTAGATGCACCAGAGGATCCAGACAGAGTAACCAAATACAATGCATTCGCACTTTCAGTTCATGCCTTGGGTGCGGTGGGAATTTCAGGGAGTGTAGCTGATATAACCAAGGTTGTAAGAGAGCTGTTTCTAGCCTGGCCACCTTCATCCCAGGTTGGACTTCTGGCATCTCCTAATGAGGAGACTCAGGAGAGCAAGTGATGTGGAAGCCAGGGACTACCTGGGAAGCACAGAACACCAGCAGGGAAGATTTACCCCAGTAGAAGAGAAGATCTGTAGCTCAGGGTTGAACCATGGAGTCCTTGGTGCTCCCCAAGTTGGCGGTTGGCGGCTTGCAGACCGTTCGTTCCCCAACTAGGTAACGCCAGCATGCCACAAGGAATCCGCAAGATTGACCCCTCCAGATGTTGCAGAACTACAACTCTTCATCCCCCTGCTGAGCTCTGCAGTGCTTCGAAGCCACCTGAGCACCAAAGAGCCATGGCAGAGCCCAGATGGACCAACCGACCGCTCTAACAGGGTTGGAGAAGCCCAACAAGCCCACCCGGACTGGCCACTGCCGGGGGTTGCTGGGAACTGGAGTCCCTGAACCCCTGGCCGGGGATGGGGGCTCCAACTGGACTCCCGGCCACCCCCCCTCCAGACTACATTTCCCAGGGCGCTTGGCAGCGGGGCGGAGCCAGAGCCCAGCTGGCGGCACAGAGCAGGAAGTCGCCCGGCGGCTCCGGCGTGGGCGCCGCCGAAGATGCCTTTGGGGGTGGGGGCGGGGCGGCCAGATCCGCGACGGCCCCTCCGGGACCTGGTGCGAGCCTTCCCGGAGGTGGAGGTGGGCGGGCGGCGGCGCCGCCG